ATAATCATTCATACCCACATTCACGCCTATTGGCAGGTTAGTCTAAATTTCAATTTTGTAACACTTGTAAAAAATGTATGAGTTTTATAGGAATCTTTATAAGTAAGTACATGACCACTATTGAGTTATGGAACTGCAAAATGAGTGGAAGAAGAACGACTAATGAATTAGACCCTTAAATAACATCTTATAAGATTTCTATTATAGTCAGAAGATTCTTTATTTATTCTTTATTTATTCTCTGAGGCCTGCTAGTGTTCTTTAAACATACTATTTACATTCAACCTTTTTCAAAGCACAGTGCATAGTGGGCTTCAACGTCATCTTGTTTCAGCAGGTTTCTCTCTAGTCATTAATTTAAAGGAGCTGCACAGTCAACCTATCGTGTATATTTCTATTCAGCTGTGCAAAACAGCTGTGCTGGTCCACGAGGTAGGCAGGGGTTGCAGGGTTTTGCTTGATATAAGTTTAAGTAGAAATAATTTTTGCTGTAAATCTACCCTCCCAGCTGTCTCAAATAGAAACCACAAGTGGCTGAAGATTTCAAAATTATTGTTTTTGCAGTAAAGGTTCCTTGTGGTCCTTCAAAACAAAAAGGGAGGACTCACCACTCTTACTTATCTCACTGTTCAGTAAGGTCTATTTTTAACTTTCTATTTTCCTGTCAACTGTGATAAACATGATTATTATTGTTATTATTATGATTACATACCCTCTGCAAAGAAACTGTAGAGAACAAAATAGGCATCACGTTTTATGTTCATCTTAAGAATGATGTGCTTTCAGACTAACAGTGACTCAGAGTCTGAGAAATGTGGGGTTAATGGTATGAAGGAGGAAAAAAACATAAAACCCACACATTCCTTTCCAGAGAGGTACAATCCATTTAAACATGCTGACTGAATGTTAATATAAAGTAGATGTGTTTGGAAAGTTGTATGCTTTCTTTTCCTTCACAAGAAAATGTATAATTATTAAATATGAGATTACATATACAGTCATGTGATAAAAACTGGACTTTATTCAGTCCTGTGAAAAATAAGTCCAACCCATGATTCCGTAGCTTGTAGTACCACCTTTAGTAGCAAAGACTTGGAGCAATCCTCGTCTCTAAGACTATCAGTCTCTTACATTTGTCGTGGCGGAATTTTGGCCCGCTTTCTTTACAATGTGGCTTCAGTTCATTGGTTTGTGGGCATTTGTTTATGCATAGAGGTTTGTTGGTATGCACAGTTCTCTCATGGTCCCACCACAACATTTCAATCATACTGAGGTCCGGAATTCGACTGGGCCATTGCAACACCTTGATTATTTTCTTTTTCAGCCATTAGGTTGTGCATTTTCTGCTCTGCTTTGTATCATTGTCGTGTTGCATGACACAGTTTTGGCCTAAATTGAGCTCTTGCACATTTGACTGTATACTTCGGTATACAGAGGAGCAATGACTGCAAGGTGACCAGGTACTGTGGCTGTTGAACAAGTCCAAATCATCACCCCTCCACCTTCATCCCTGATATTGTTGTGCTGATATCCTGTGTTTGGTTTTTGTCAGGCATAGAGCAAACGTGTCCACTCTGGTCTGGTGTGTCCAAAAGACATTGTTTCAGAGGCCTTGTGGTTTGTTCAGATTCAACTTTGCAAACCCAAGCTGTGCTGCCATGTTCTTTTTAGAGAAAATAGTCTCTTTTTTTTCTGGTGACCCTTCCAAACATACTCATTCAGTCTTTTTCCTTGTGCTGTCATGAACTTTAACATTTTGCTAACTGAAGCCTGTAGAATCTGAAGTATAGCTCTTGGGGGTTTTTTGCAGTTTTTTAGGTTCTACATGGTCTGACCTTGGGGTGAATTTGCTAGATGCCCAGTACTGTGAGGTTGTGGCATTATATTAACACAATTCAATGCTCCATACCATCAAACTGACAAAGCCTCTATTGTCATTTAGGTGGTCACACTTTTAATTAATCAAATGCATTTGATTAGCTGCTACTTGCCATCTTAATTTCCAAGGAAGCAGTAAGGGTGTGCCTGTAAAGTCCTTGTTTTTCGCATGAATATATGAGATGTGCGAGTGAATGTGAGTGTGAATGGTTGTCTGTCCCTATGTGTTAGCCCTGCGACAGACTGGCGACCTGTCCAGGGTGTACCCCGCCTTTCGCCCTATGACAGCTGGGATAGGCTCCAGCGCCCCCCGCGACCCTGAAAAGGATAAGCAGAAGCGAATGGATGGATGGATGGATGGATGGATGGATGGATGGATATGAGATGTTTTCAAGGCGTCAAAGACACAGCTACAAAGTACACTTATTAACATATTTACTTTGTATCTAATTCAAACGGTCGCTTTAATAAAAATGTAACCTTAATTCCTCAATTACTTAATTGCATATTGTGTTTGTATATTCTTCTCACCATGAGGTTAAACTGCAGATCTTAAAAGGACCAAAAGGTGCCTATATCACCAGAAAAATTATCCTCAGAAGAGTCTTGTCAGAGGCTAAAATGCCCAATTTCCATTATCTGTTCCTGTTTTAGAAATTAAAAAAGATTGTTTACAAATCTCTGCAAGCCTCAACACAGCAGAAGTTTCAACATGTACAAAATATGACATTTTTTTCAATTCAATTCAATTTTAGTTATATAGCACCAAATCACAAAAACAGTCGCCTCAAGGCGTTTTATTCTATTGTAAGGTAAACCCTACAATAATACATACAGAGAAAAACCCAACAATCATATGAGCCCCTATGAACAAGCACTTTAGCAACAGTGGGAAGGAAAAACTCCCTTTTAACAGGAAGAAACCTCCAGCAGAACCAGGCTCAGGGAGGGGCGGCCATCTCATCTCATTTTATCTGAGAACATATACAGTTTACAGCCATATTTTTTTTTTTGCAAACAACACCTACGTGAATAATAATTTAAACACATCAATTTAACCGTTTTGGGTAATAATCAGAATTTAGTCAGATTTTAGGTTTGCATCTACAAAATTAACTAATATTTGATTCCACTTCATTCTAACTGCACATTCTGCTCATATGAGATCGTTAACATGGCAACTATTACAGCTGCCAAATATCATTCTGAACATGTTGTCAGACTTAGATTAAGCCTGAGGTTTGGCTGTTTTTTATTTTATTTTGAGCCTTGCTTGAGTCTTAAGCAGCTGTCGATAATTTCACAGTGATTAACTCTCTCATCTATAATGTATTTAATGCACACACCTCATTATCAATGTGCATAATAAATTAGTAACACGCATACTGACTCTAGGTATGTACTTAACATTCACTTATTACAACTTACACAGGATCACCAGCGCCTTTGCAAAGCTTTACACGAACTGTAACAACACTGCTAATCCTGGCTGATAAGCACCATATGCGCTGGAACAACGTCTTTCTTGGTGCATTGGTCTAGGTTTTCTTATTAGATCAGACACCATTTAAAGAGAGTAGGTTAGTTGATTATACGTGGCACTTATAGCTATTATGTAAACTGATTCCAGATGTCCCATTTGACTCATGCTAGGCTCTTATAATTCAATCCTGCTGTAAACGTCAGTTTGACCCAATTATGAAAAGTTATCTGTCTGTCGTTGGGTGCTGGAAATACAACACTTCCCAATGTCATCCAGTCTGTTTTAGCTATTTTTGCTCAGGTAAACCTGATACAAATCTGGAGGTAAAAGAGTTAGCTGTTGCCTCACCGCTACCACCATTACAAAATGTAACATGTTTATTTTAACAGCTTTTTCACATTTCTAATGTTTTTATACAATCATATTCCAAGTGTAGGACAATTTCCTCCTTTTCCTCCTGTGCCGCCCCTATTTAAATCTTAGGTAGAGCTCCTGCTGCCTATGTCTAGACAATAAAGTCTTTTATAAAACCTTAAGCCTAATATCTTCCTGCTTGGGATGGCAGGTGAAAGTATAATCAGCTGTTGTAGCCTGGCAACCCAGTTTCATAGATCATCCTTCAATCCAGACTGCCTCCAGCTGTTCTTTTTGTTTATCACTATTTTTACTCATAAACTGTGTCAATCAACAATCACCCCAGTTTTTGTAATTTCCACTAAGCTTACACACTATAGTTCTCTTAAAAAGGTTTATTTTTTTTCACCTTTTTCCATTTAATAGGAATAAATAGAACAAAGTAGCATACCTTTTCATGGAAAGCCTAGTATTGCAAAAAAAAAAAAAAAAAAGAAGCCCAGCTAGAACTGCAAGAACAAAGTGAGTTGAAATGTGCACATCTTTTGTTTGATTTAAGTCTTCATGCTTGGTTTGGATACCCATGGATAAATATTTGCCAACATCACAGTGAAAAATGTACAAATGCTTGCATTAGAACAATAAATTGATGTGTATTATGTCACATTTACTAAAATTACAGTTTTCCCTGCAATGTCTTTCTACTTTGAGTGGTTAACTTTAATTGCGGTTTGAGACACAAGGAAAATCTTTGTCTTCTGCAGTTGTTTTTGCAGTGAAACAGTGTAAAATCTTCTCCAGTACAATCTAGGTGAGTAAAATTGCTGAGTGTAATTATATTATTTTTGTAGATAGTGCCAACAGTTGCATCAAGGTACTTTATAGTAAATATCCTATAATACCCTATAATATCCTATAATAATACAGAAAAAATGTGTACGTGCTTGTATCTGATTGTATGAGCAATATAGGAGAAACAAAAACAAGACTTTTTCTGTGAAAAGCTGGGTGTAAAGTACCATCTAACCTCACCTTGCACCCTAGAAAATGTACCCCAAGGCATTTGAGCTGAAATGAGCCATAACTAATCATGTGTCCATCCCCCAGAGTTATGAGTAAAGAGCAAAACATCCATTTAAAGGTGGGGTGACATCAGCTTAACTGTCAATCGTTCAAGCATGACTTCATGTTCTATAAAAAAAATGGAAAAAAATGGGGGGAAGACAAAAAGATGCAGAAAAAAAATGCTGGGCTGGCAAAAAGTAGGCAACACAGACTTCTGAAGGGACATCCCAGCTCGCACACAATCGTCCTCCCACCAACAACACACGCTCCATCTTCTCGGTTGCACCGGTGACCAAGGTGCAGCCTTGGGGGAATCAAAAGAATAACAATACAAGAAACAGGGCTAGGCTGGGCTTTTGCTTCAGACCACTGAGACTGCAGACAATCATCGAAGCTAATCATTGGAGGAGCACAAGAACCAAAACTCACCTGGTCGAATGAAAAGCAGGTAAAGATGATTTTGGCTTTCATTTACAATGAGTCTGTTTGAGAGAGTAGTGGAAAGAGTTCAGAGAATTTGCAGATTTCTGATGAGATTGCTCTTTATCTTTGATATGGCTTCACTTTACTAACCTCTATTTAAAAACCTACACTTATTATCTCTTCTTATGATCATGATTGAGCTGGGCACTTTTTAAACCAATTTAAAGCCGTTTTACTAACACACTCACACCTAGAAAGGACTGAACCGCAAAGAAACAACTGTGGTACTTTTGAAGTTTCCAAATAAACATCTTGGAAAGTCGCATTTACTGCCAAACCTGTTTTTTTTTCACTTAACAATTACCCATAAAAACATTTTTTTTGTCCTTTGTGGACACAGAAAGTCATGCCAACTCTTCCAAATATTTCAAAGTCATGAAGAGGATTTCAACAAATGGAAATAATCATGCAAAACTCATACATTGCAAATAAAAGCCATTGTGTAATTAACATAGCTGGCTCTGACACAAAGCCCCTGGCAGGAAATAAGCATTATCATATTCGCCTGCATGTGTTTCCCCTTAGTCTGTCAGGCAGATATTACCCAACATTTGTTTTTAGTAAATACAGTTTCCACTTTGCAGATCTATGAAGCCATGACTCATTAAAAACTAAAAACAAAATAACAATAGACGACCTCTTAACCTTTTAATACAGAGAGCATTTCTGAGACCTTAATGTGTTTAGCTTCTCTCTCTTTGGGGGATCCTGTAAAATAGCACATTTGTGTGTAAAATGAATGAATCAAATTGACTTTATCCCCATGTTGCTCATTGGCCATAGTAAAGTAGCACAGGGAAAGCATATTTAGAGTACAACATTAACAGACTGTGTTGCACGTAAATCAATTTCAATGTCTGCAGTGTGTGCAAACACAGTAGTCTGATAGAAATGCATCGAATTGGACAAATTGGACAGCTCAACATGCCATTATATGTCTTTTATCACAAGTAAAGGAGCTGCTTTTTGGCTAACCCAGTAAAGGCACTGCTAAGGCACTGAAATGTGTGCCCTTTTAACTATTCTAGATAGCAACTTGTCTTTTATGCATAATTCCTCCGAATGTGCTTGGGACAAATGTCTGGCTGTTTAACTGATCGTAGAGGATCACAAACATGTGTTAAGGAATAATCACTGTGCACAGGTGCACATTGGCAAACACCGGAGGAGCTCTAATGGGTTTGCATGGCTGATCATGGATGAGCGTTGCTCCTATCCTCACAAGTGAGCTGGGATTATCCTGTTGTATTCGAGGCTCTGCCGTCACTGCCAGAATTGAGCACAGTCTTATGCTCGCATGTTGAAAGGTCACCAATTCTGATGTAAGCGAGCTTCAGCAAAACATTTTGCAAGGCCAGCCTGCAGTAGAATCTCCTCAGCTTAAGTATGACTTCCCTCCCATAACCTCTCATGTCTTCCGGCAAGGTTTTGTACTTAAGCAGAGTGCGTCAGCTTTGTGCTTGATGCTTTAGCAGTAATGCAGAAAAACGTGCCTCCCCTCCTAATAATGTCAAATTTGCTCAGGAAAATCCTCATGTTTTAAAATTCAACTGGATTGTGGCATTTTCTATGAGTATCACCTTTTGCTCCTTCTCTATGGTAATTTCAAAGAATTGTCCGATTCCTGCAGGTTTTTTAGATAATGCTCTGTTCCATCCCAGTATTTTTGATTAAACTATGGATATTTCTATCTTAATAAGCATTAAGATTTCAGCATTATATTTCCTTGAAGTCTTATACTACTTGAATTATTCAGAATAAGTTAAACTGAGATTTATATCCCCAAGCAATTCCCTCCCACATTCTTTTTTTCTGCCATCTGTGCAGACAGGGTTGACAACTCTTGACTTTCTGTACTTATTTTAAACATTGATATGGAGGTGGAGATGATCATCTGTACATGACAAATATACTGAGCTGTATGTGTGTGTACTTTTTGTTTATCCCACTAACTGCATTCACATAGTGGACAACCAATGAATAAAATTAGCACAAAAGGTTGATTAAGGACTCTTAAAGTGGCATTAAATCAATTATACCAGCAATGGTTTTACATGTGGAAGTCAGCAAACTAAGGACAGGTATATTTGCATTCTAAGTGTGCCATGGCTCAGGTACTGAAAAGGCTTAGGACAGTACACATCTATTAAGGATTATGACCATTGATCCTGGGAGACTCTAGCTGGCCAAGAGAAGCTTTAACGTCATCCTGAGTGACAGGCTTGCACACCATGAATGAAAAAGCCAGCAGTACAAATAGAGGGACGTAAAAGCCATCCTCATCATTTGAGACCACACTTGATAGGACTCCACAAAAGGAAACTTTACGGGCTAAAGGTAAGATAGACTGGACTGCAAGGCAAAGACATGTATACTGTCTGAATTATAGGGTTGGTGGTTGTTAGTTGTTAATCTTGCAGCTTTAGTAACTGGGTTTAAACTTTATAAAAGCATGAATTACATTGCTGCCAATGCACTAAGTATTCTACTCCAAAGCTAATTGACAAAGCTTTGGCTTTTCTACAGTGAAAAATGAGGGGCACATCTCCGAGCAGAGGTTATCCGCCTTTGTCTTTGAAGTGTGGCCATCTATGGAAAGCAACCCGAAATGAGTTCCAGACAAACATGGAGTGCATCAAGAATTTAAACAAGCACCAGATGGTAGCTGAGAGGAATCAAGTTGTGGCTTAGAAGATGAGTGTATAGAAGATGGCAAAGCTGACTTTGGATTTTTGTTTGTTCTTGTTTTCATTTATTTTTTACTTCTTACTTGCAGAGCTTTCAATCTATTGCTTTTCTGCAACATCACACCTTTAATCTTCCTTTACGCCTGTCAGGGGTTAGCACCATTTGCATGTTTAGTTGAATATGTTTTTATCTGCATGCATCACTGCATCAGATATGCAGACTGAAGCTGGCATGCATTGACACCTTTACACCTGAGCTTCTAGACTGGCCTAATACAATTAAAGTTGACCTGGATTTGCTTCCGGTGTTTTGAGACTTAATTGGAAGGCAAGTAAACCCCCGGATGAGTGGACTACTTCTCAGCTGGCTGCTTGCCTTCATAAATGAATTAATGATGGAGTAGGTGGTGGGGACTAATTTGGGATTATTTTCAAACACTTAGTACACTAATCCAAATGTATTTGATGATAGCCATGATTTATATATTCTACCTGTTATTAGACATATTGCATCAAACATCTTACAAAGACCGTTGCTAGTAAAGGGGGTCAGAAGTTACTGCATTCTTAAGGCAGTGTGGAATAACTGCTCAACATTTTTTAAAGGAAAAACATTTGTCTGTAGGGCTTCCTGACTGTAATACTCTCTTCTTTTTTTAAACATTTCTAACGCAGGCTGAGCAGCAAAATGGAACTTCTACTGAAGCTTCTCAGCATCTGGTGCCTGATTGGGCTAACTGTCAGCCAGGACATAACTTACGAGGAACATATTGCCCAGATTCAAGCCTGCCCTAAAGAGTGTCGCTGCCCAACGAACTTCCCTCGTGCTGTTTACTGTGACAATAAAAACTTGAAGAATATCCCTAAAATCCCTCCATACACATGGTACCTGTATCTGCAGAGCAATATGATCGAAGTGCTGTCAACAGATGCCTTGCAGAATGCCACCCAGCTGCGTTGGCTGAACCTTAACCGCAATAAAATCACTAGTGAAGGCGTGGAAGAAGGTGTCCTCAGTGCAATGACTCACCTGGTGCACCTGTACATGGACGATAACCTCTTGTCTTCAGTGCCAGCACAACTCCCAGCCAGCCTGGAGCATTTACGTCTGTCTCGCAATCGAATCTCCAAGATCCCTGCAGGTGTCTTCGTCGGCCTGGATAAACTTACTCTTCTGGACCTCCAGGGTAACAAGCTGATGGATGACGCTGTGACTGAAGTCAGCCTAAAGGGTTTGAACAACCTGGTACAGATCAATCTAGCCAAGAACCAGCTGAGTACCATGCCTCTTGGGCTACCACCTTCTACCACTCAGCTTTTCCTTGATGGCAACAACATTGAGAAGATCCCAGCTGGCTACTTCAAAGGTTTGCCAAAAGTGGCATTTCTGAGGCTCAACCACAACAAGCTTGCCAGCAGTGGAGTCCCCAAAAATGTGTTTAACATCTCCAGCATTTTGGACTTGCAGCTGTCCCACAACCAGCTGACTGATGTTCCTCTCATTCCCTCAGGCCTTGAGCATCTTCACCTTGACCACAACAAGATCAAAAGTAAGCCTAGGTGTATTATTTTCTGCTTAATCAGAAATTAATTTAAGCTGGAGTTACTTAAAGGAAAGTTCTTTAGAATTTTTCATTTGGAATCTATCCATTCTTATTACATTAACTCCCTTTTTTTTTAATTTACAGCTGTAAGCGGCTCAGGTGTCTGTCCCGTGTCTGTCGAAGATCTGGGCGATTCACTTAATGAAAGTGCTCCTCGACTCCGCTACCTCCGACTGGACGGCAATGAAATTCAACCACCAATTCCCAGAGATGTCATCATGTGTTTCCGTCTCCTTAGGTCTATTGTCATCTAAACAGAAAAACGAACATTGTTTCTTAGGCCAATTCTTATTTTCCACAAATGATGACTTGACCTTGAAGTTGATTTGGTAAATAAGAATTGTGAAGCCATACATATTTGCATGTTTGTAAAGTATCTGACATTAGTTGGCATGAACTTATTGTATTGTTGTGTCTTGGAAACAGCTTTTTTAGTTAAGTCTGAATAAGATCTAAAAGACACTACTGATGGGTTAGAAGCTTTAATTGTGGCTATTGACCGCTAGCTGTGCCTTATGCAGGTGTAAACAGCTGCATGAATACTTCTGAACCAAAATGTAACTGTACATGAATAGGAGGACAATATGTATTTATGGCATGTAAAAAGCTTGGAGACTAATTGTCATTATGCGATATTGAACAGAAGCTAAAGCTTCTAAATGCAAAATCAAAATACAACTTTTATTTTTTTTCTCTATGACTACTTTATATCTTTGGGCTTGAAGCCAAATAACTGGTCTTGTGTTCTTATAGGTGTGTGGTCTTGATTTTCTTCCGAAAATTACTCTATTCTAGAAATTTGCATATTTACTGTAGGTAATTTATTTTTATTTAATACTGGGGGAATAAAAGTGAAATCCTGTGAATATTCCTGGCCAACAGTCCTTAATGTTTTGTACACAACAATGTGAGAACTGTTTTTATATAAAAAAAAAATACCAAGACACTTTTTAATTATGGCCACTTCTTTTTCTGAATAATTTGAGATAAGATGTCATTTGAATTGTCTTCAATTTAAATAAAACTTCTAAGAACAACTTTGTATCCTGGTGTTCCGTTTAACATAATATATCAAGCACTTTGGATCACTATAACACTGAAACAGTAATAATAATATATCAGTGCAAGGGTTTTTATGCACAGATAAAGTAAACATGTATTATATTATCAACCCAGATAACAGAAACATTTGTCCCACAGGACTAGCAAATGTTGTGTATGTTGTGTGGGCCAGACATGACCCAGCTGTTACAACACATTTGACATGCAACCCATATAAGGTGGACTTGTTGTTGAAAAGAGACTCAATAGTCAGCACTATCCGTCAAGGACTGTGGCCATTAGAAAATTGCAGATGTGAGCCACATTTAGGCCAAACATATTTTACTTGGGTAGTGCATGTGGTGATTAAAACATAAAATAATTCAAGGGACTTGTGATCAATGAGTAAAAATAATAAAAGAACCAACCTTAGGAATCATTATACTTTGTTAAACAAACAGTTTAGGAACTTTGATTAGTATTTATAACCTTCAGAGGAGCCACGTCCAATGTCAGATACTGATGTGCTATTTGCAAAAATATAGTTATAGATTTTGCAGTTTGTATTTATTTTAATTTATTAGCATGTAGGTACCAGACTAGATAGGGCTATGTAAAGAGCAGGCTCCTTAATATGTTAGCATACTAACAGTGACAGTATTAAAGATGGACATACCAGATAATCTGAAATCCAGTTTTGCATCCTTTAACATTTCTGCTGTCGCCATCTTGATTGCAAGAAACCAAAAGTGGCTAAAGACACAGCTATAACCGTGAAACCACTTGCTTACTGGCTAATAGCTAATGAACTCAAAGAGAAGCCTTTTTGCAATCAAAAGTATAGCCATGTGGTAGCCTCCAGAAAGGATGCAAGTTTAAATCACTTCAACAATGGCTTTGTTTATTGGACCAGAAAGCTATGTGGAAGAGAAGCAGGAAGTAGCGATTTCTAAGTTCCACTGCAGCAGAACATTCTGACACCCCCCAAGTCGGTGTTACAACTCAGAAAGTTGGGGCAGCCACGCCAGACTAGCTAAAATTGCAATGTATTGACCAGGTTCTACTCAAGAACGTGATATATGATTCATGAATTGCTATTTTCTTGCTTTTTCAACTTTGCAACTAGAATTTTCTCTTCTTTGGAGTGACATCTGCATAAGCTCAAGTCAGTTAGCTAATTCAGCAATATTTCAAACACAGTTGCAATAGCTAAGATATATATGGAAAGACTGACTCATCTAATTTGAATAAGGTAATATTTAAAAAGTGTCAGTTGCTTGTAAATGTGACTAAAACAGCTAGCTAATAGCATTATGGCTAGCAGCTAAAATAGTTAGCTAAAAGTAACAGTTGACTAAACAAGATTTGTTAGTTATACGTAATAAAGTTGCTAAATTTAGTACGTGAATACCTAATATAGTAAGACAATGGTTATGGGGAAAGATGAGACATCTCATTAATGAGGCATTTTGCACAATGTATTTGTCATTGTTAGGAAGGTTAAGTCTGCTAGCATGAAAATAACAAAGGTTGACATGAAAGGAAAATGTTTCTTTTGCCACATTCTGAGCCAAATTATCATAGCAAGACATTAAGTGGAATAGGGAAATAACGAGTTTTTAATTCTTTCCTCATCAAAATGTCACCAAGGTTTACCAACCCCTGGATCAAACAGGGCTTTGAGGGTAAGTCAAATGAGAGAGATTAGGAACCACTCACATAAATGTTCTGACAGGAGACCAACTTCAACACTTTTTAGGGTACTGTCCCATGCTTCCTGTGTGATAAATCGTTGTCTCAGGTATGATATTTTGGGTAAAAATTCATTGTGTTCTTTCCTCTAAAGAGTGCTTGGCAGAACAAAAGCTGTAGATATAAATCCCAGCATATATGGCAGGTTAGAGGTTTGCCTGTCATTCATCATAAGGTCTAGAGCTACCTCCTGAGGGAGAAGTGGACAGGTTCAGACAAAACTATGGCCAAATAATGCTGACTTGCTCTCTGTGTTTGCATGTGTGTATGTGTCCCATATTTATTTTAACAAGGGACATTAATGAGCCAGGCTGTCTTTGCAATGTCAGTAGAATCCCCTTAAATCTACATCAGGACTTTAGAAGAATCACTTGCCTTGGGGGTCTGAACCCTGATCAGAATATTTTCCATCAGTTAAGACATCCATAGTTCTCCTACAACTAAAATCAGGCTTGTAGTTAAAGCAGACCACTGAGCAGCTGATGGTGCAAAGAGAAATTTGCTTCAACCCAAAAGGAGGACAGAGGCCTTCCTTAAATCAGGGACTTCCTCTCAGCACTATGCTAACAGGGGCTTCTTACAGAGGTCCCATTGTGTATAAGGTCCCCGTGGATCCCCCTCATACATGAAAGCAACACATGCCAGAGTTTCACCTGAGGAAAACACAGGGAAATATTTCAATCTGACTGAGCCAACTTCTTAGAAAAATAATGCATATTCTTAAAAGGGATGGCCGGATATTTTGCCAGTGGTAGGCCTTTACTCTCTGTTTCTTTGTGTCTGATGTGTGATGTGTGTGTGTGTGTGTGTGTGTGTGTGTGTGTGTGTGTGTGTGTGTGTGTGTGTGTGTGTGTGTGTGTAATGTTTGAGAGGGTTGTGCATGTGGTTGTACAGTGTGGGGTGGGTGCACTCTGAGTGACCAAAAGCAATCTGCTCTGGTCCAATCAGTCTCAGTGCCTACCTTCACACATAAGCGGCAGGGCACTCAGGTCTGCCAGAGCGCACAGACCTATACATACACACACGTCTACACACTTGTCAAATTCACACACACACACACCTTTCACACACTTCACACACGCACCCTCCCTCTTCAAGGCACCCTGTGCGACCTCTCACCATTGGCCAAGTCCCGGAGCCCTCAGCATCTCCATCACGGCTGACGGGACCATTCGGGAAAGCAGGAGACGGAGGTAAGAGTTTTTGGTGCTATCTTCATCTTGCTGGTTGAATGGCTCTTTGGTGCAGAGGATTAGGCAGGAAGAGTTGCTCAGCTAAGCCTTCCAAAAATCACTCCTATTCAGAGTTTTTAAAATGAGCTACAACACAAATAAGATGGTGTGGCAGGGGCTTTAATTTCTCTCCTGGGTTTACTTTTGAAGATATGCAGGTGCTTTCTAAGGGATTTTTTGGGGGGTCCATAATGTTTTACATGTTTTTCAGTTGTGTTAGACAGGTGTTTCACAGTATCAAATTTAGGGTTTTTGTTTTTTCCTTGTTTCTTCAAATGTCGTTACGTATTCCTGTAGTGTATGTATTTGTGAAAAATGACCGTAGTCTGTGAAATAACAGCAGGTGTTCATGAAAAAGTGCATAAATAGCACCTTTTCATAACATCTTTTGCTCAACTTCTGCAGAAAACGTCTTCTACTTTGCTGAGAATCTTAAATAATTGAAAACTTTCTGCAAATATTCTCCCTCAAAGTATAGTTACATACAAGTGCATACCATACTTTTCTCACTGCCTAGTCACCTGCTTTGATAGAGGATTTTTTCAATGCAAATTAAACCTTCTTGCAGTCCAAATAACCCAGATTGTTTTGCACCAACAGCCAAGTGGGCATCACTTATTTGCTTGTGGGTTTTGAGGGGAAAAGGCAGAATCACTGAATATCAGGAATGCCCAATGCAAAGCCAAGCATAACAGAGAAGTAGTCTGGAGGCTCCAGTCTTACATACATACAGTTTCCACACACTGTACACTGTGATGGCCTGAGTAAAAGCACACCTCTGTCTTTAATATAGTTCGTTCAGTCTAGCTGTGCTGAATTGCGTAGCTCCATGACGGGCGGTTTGTTTAAATAGCAATGATAACCAGTCAGATCAAGTTATCTCAGCAGAGTGCACTAAGTTGATGTTGGAGGGACAACGAAGAGACTGATTTGCATATTAACTCTGTCCCTCTCATACTGACAAGGTTAGATTCATGACTTAAATAACCTAGGAAGCTGTTTTTTTGGTTTTATATCTGTCCTCATCCCAAAATAGTAGCAGCAGAGGTTTCTCAGTTTTCTCTCACTGAAAGATAGGTGTGTTAAAACAGAGTGTGCATCTGTGAGAGGATTGCGTCTTTCCAAGTGTGTGCATGAACGTGGATCTCTGTGTGTATGTGTGTGTGTGTGTTTGAGTGTCGCTGCTGCTGAATGAAGCTTTTCCTTGCAGCTGTAACTCGCTGCCATCCTGTCCACAAACCTCGGTGGAATTTGGAGTTTGAGTGCTGAGACAGGCAGCAACCGGCCCTCATAAAGGCCCTCTGTGAAGGGTGAGGGGTCGAGTCAGCTTAGAAACCTGTCTCTCTCTCTCTCTCTCTCTCTCTCTCTCTCTCACACACACACACACACACACACACACACACACACACACACACACACACTTGTTGCTCTCTTGCTGCTCTCTTCTACTCAGTCCTTTCCTCGCTCTCTCCATCTAACCCTGAGGGCCAACATCTTGTCTACTCTCTTCGCCAAATTCTTCTTCTTCTCTTCCCTTGCGCTCCTTTCTCTGTGATAGCCTACAGGACTCTCTTTAATCTGTAAAAATATATCAGTTCCAATGTGACTACACCTGCTATTAGTGTTTCGAACATTGACACACTAGCATACTGACAAACGATTAAAGTCGTAAGCCCACTGTCTGTGGTGCCAGCTAATTAAGCACTAATTAGCATATGTTAATCTTATTAGTGCTTCCCACTTTAGAATAATACTTAAGAACTGACCAACCTTGGTGAACTAAGTAGACCTGTGCAGAAGATTATGAACAGCAGCTATCGTATCTAGGCCAGGGCTAATGATAAAAATTACACATACTAATTTTGATTTTCCACTTTTAGAGTATCCCATTATATGATCAAATATCCCCAAAATCTTTACTTCAGCCATAAATACCACAGGCTGAAAGTGAATTTCTAAAATTCTTTAGCCTTAATGAGACTAAACAAAATCCTCTCCTGGTTCATTATCAG